AGTAAAATGTAGTTTCCTCGTAATTGTTATTTCATCGATGGGTAATTGATTATAATTTTGAAACCTTGCGTATTCTTTTAAGTGATTTTAGTTGAAATAACATTGAACTTTTCATTTATTCAGCCAATTCATCTCATACCTATCGCAGAGATTTGAAGGAAGCCATTGACTCAAAATATCCAAACAGTCAGTCAAATAATCTCACCAGATGCCTAACTAACATTGATACTAATATTGTCAGTAAAACCAATAATAAACCAATATCGCCTGGTTTAACAGGTTTTTCATTCCGTCAGACTGAGAAAGTAATCAAAATGCAGTCATCTCGATATCGTGAATGGGGATATGAAGCTTCGGAAGTTTATAGCTCCTACGACCAACTGAGTGAAAAAGAGCTATCTATATATCGTTCAGCTGGAAATTTTGTTCCTGGTACAATTCCTTTATCTTCACCGTCAGAAAATTTATGTACTTTTTCTTAAAAATGGACTGTTTCATTATTGTATCATGTGTCTAAAATAATTCTGTACCAATTCATCTACTTCTTGATTCTAAACTATGGCCCAAGATTTTCGTGTCCCAGGGTTTCCACACATCCATAACGTATTTTCGAAGTCCGATGTGAATAAGAATAAGCTATAATTTGATAACAAATGATCGAATATGGCCTATTCAAACAAGTGTAGACTACCTGACTGGAGTCCGCATGATTGTCGTAGCCAGTGGTTAGAGACTTTAAGTGAGATGACTCAAAATCGTTTGTAATGGCGCAAGTTCATCCATTCTTTGTTTTCCTCTATATTCTGAGCTTCTAAATTTCCCATAACGTTTTTGTATTTTCATTTCACTAACTTATATTTTTTTGAATCGTATCTTCGATGCCTAATCTTTTTTATTACCATTAATACTACAGCTATCTCTACTGTTCTAGGATTTGTCCTGACAGTTTCATTTATATGTCCTAATGGAGTATGGTAGCTTGAACTGATGTGCATACATACCAGGTATTACGTTGGGACTGACTTACTAATTCAGACAGATCAACATGAACAAAAAATTTAGCATAAATTCGTGCTGTTCAGTATTGCTGACTTTGATTTCTAACCATATGCAAGCTTTTGTATTAATGCTTGTGCCGACAGTGACAGGGAAAATACTTTCTAGCGTCCTTTCACATGGTTCGTAATTACTTACTCCTGTTACCCCTCATGGAAGAGCATAGGTCACCCACTGGCATTCTCCATCCAACCTTGTTCTCGACAATCCTTTCCAGTTGCTATTCATTTTTTTGATGTCTGCTTCCGACTCCCGACGTAGTGTGTTCTTCGGCCTTTTTCTTTTTCGTTTTGCTTCAAGATTCCAAGTTAGGGTTTGTCTCGTGATGCAGTTTGGTGATTTCCGTAATGTATATCCTATCCACTTCCAACATCTTTCTCTAATTTCCTCTTCATCTGAAAGCTGGTTTTTCCTCTCCCACAGTAGGTTGTTGCTGATGGTATCCGGTCAACCGATATTGGGTATCTTGCGTAGACAACTGTTTATAAATAATTACACCTTTTTGATGATGGTTGTTGTAGTTCTCCGCCTGTAGCTCTTCTAGAGTTACTGCCGGTCTCAAGCCCGTGTAAAGGAGGAGGGCTGGGCATCGGGTCGGCAACACCATCTACTAGAAAAAAATCTTGCTGAAAAACACCACCCAAATTACACAAACTAAACCATCAAAACCCTGCCTTGAGAGTTTCAGGAAGAATTATGACGCCTCACGATGAAAGATGAGATTCTCCTGAAGTCATGAGGTCGATCCCCTCTTAACAACCAGAGCAACAATTTTTATAGGTAAATGGTTCCTAAATAGTTTAGTCTATTTGTAGTATCATGATGTTAGTCTGGCTGTAAAAGGTCGGATCTACAACGCGTCTGTGAGAGCAGTTTTGCTCTATGCTTGTGAAACCTGGCCTCCGAGTTGAGGACGATAGAAGACTCTCTGTGTTCGATCATCGCTGTCTCCGAAAGATTGCTGATATCCAGTGGCAACACCATGTCAGTAATGCAGAGGTTCGGCATCGTGTGTTCGGGCAGAGATGATAATGCAATCGATGTCACCATCTTGAAACACCGACTTCGGTGGTTTAGATATGTTCTACGAGTGTCGTCCCAGAGAATTCCACGTCGTGCATTATTTGCCGACTCTGAGACTGGTTGGAAGAAGCGGAGAGGTGGTCAGTGCATGACATGATGTCGTGGTATGAAAGGAAGCTGCAAAGGACTGGCTTCTGTCGATCCTTCACGACTCCCTGGTTGGGGTCCGAGAGATGGTGCTACACAGTGGCTAGAGACGTTATCAGATATGGCTCAGAATAGAAGCCAGTGGCGATCCTGTTCTAACCTTTTACTTTCTTCATAAAAAGTGGTTGTCTCCCTTAACTGAAAGATTTCTTCTGATTGTACCTTTCCGTTCCCTCATTATTACTATTATTATTACTACACTACCTTACACCAACCTCTTCGTTATTGTTCTCTTTTTTTCTTTCTCTTCGAATTCTCATTGTTTTGTGTGGCGCATATATATTGGCGCTCTCTTGTACCAATATTTATGTGTTCAAATAAATAAATAAATAGTATCGCTTCACAGCATGGAAAATCTGTGAGAACAGCAGTAAAAGTCTTACAGCAAGTTTAAATGACTAATAGACAAACAAGTACATCACTCTAAAGCCTCACAGAAAGTTGCACCGGTCCAAGTTGTTATATCTCGGAATGACACAACAAAAGGAAAGATATCTGATGAGATTGTAGCAAAATAACCTGCCGTTTGAGCACAATGTAGGATTTCAATTCGTATTTCGTGAAAACTAAGTATTTTAAACGTATTTATTTAGTCTTTTACAATTAACCACATCCAATATATGTTGATTTTTAACACGATATTTTTAAGTCACTTTGATATTCTGTGTCTAAAATAAACCACCAAATGCCCTGGTACGGCCGAGAGTGGGGAGAGTCCGCTCTCCCTCTCGAAATACTCTCACACGGCCACGCGTATATAGCCTCTGCCAGGGAAGTCCTACTCACTGCCTTCTCATGGCGGGGGTGTTATTTGCGAAAATGAGAGGACGAAAAGCGAATGTCCGGCGCTTTAACCGGATTCCAAATCAATGGTGTACATGGGCTCCAGTATCCTGCAGGAACAAATGGCGAATGAACCAATTGTTGGTCACCGGCTTCCATGGGACTGCATCTCCTTACGATGCTCCACTGCCTTGTGGATCAGACCTTCAGGTCGAAGGCTCGGGGTGTGCCCCCCCCTGCTTCGGTTTGGGCACCCGGGCAGTATCACAGCCCTCACACATATCGAATGAGATTTGTGTGGCGCATATGTATTTGGTGCCTCTTTGTACCATTATCTACGTGTTGAAATAATAATCTAAACTAATTGATCTTCAAACCAGTATTATTTACCTATGAATTAACTTTAACCTGATCGATTTTATGTCGTATAAGTGATTTATTCATGAAATAGTGAAAAATAATACGGTATTCGTTCATCGTAATTTTTCAGTCACTTCATGTTTCTACGTTTGGTCGATAACTATGTATTATAATTCATTTATTTCCACATACTTTACGTTATTTCCGTAAAATAAAATTTGATAATAACGTGTTTTACTAAATTTTTGTCAGTTCGTGCTTAAAGTATGCATTAACAATCAAATCTAAATAAAAGTGAAGGGATGTGAACTGTCCAGATTAAGCAAAGGTTTAGCGTATGTCTCTTCACTTAAAGATATAATTTTTATCCTTTAACTTAGTTTATTTATTTATATGGACATATAAATCTTGGTGCAAAAGGGTACCGAATGCATATGCGCCACAAAGGTCACTTGATTTATGTGTGGGGTGTGATACTGCCCGGGTGCCCAGACCAAAGCGGGTGGTTTTCTTAGGGAGCCACGCCCGGAGCCTTCGGCATGAAGATCTGATCCACATGGCAGTGGAGCAACGTCAGGGGATGCAGTTTCAAAAAAGCCGGTGACCAACAATTGGTTCATACCTCATTTGTTCATTTAGGACCCTGGAACCTATGTGCACCACTGATTTGGAACCAGGGCTTTTCAACTCTTCTAGGTGGACCCTCTGTGTCCACCAACTCGGTTAAAGCACCGGGTATTCGTTGTCCGTTCTCTTAATTCTGTAAACAACACACCTGCCGCAAGAAGGCAGTGAGTAGGACTTTCCTGGCAGTGGCTGTGTACGCATGGTCACTTGAAAGCATTTCAAGAGGGAGAACTAACTCTTCCCACTCTCGGCCATATCAGGACATTTGGGGGCCAATATAGGTTTTGACGTGATTGGTAGATGACTTATTGATGGCTTTATTCAAGTAGATTGTAGATTTAGTTTCACAAGAATTCTCAATTGTTTTATTCATTGTTGTATGTTGTTTTATCGTATTAATTGTACTCCAAACTGGGTAATTTTAATTAATAGTGTTTGTGATCAAACTGAATTGATGGTATAGTGTTGTTCAGTATATCTTACAACGTCAGAAACAACATAGATACACTTTTAATGATTTTGATATTTATAACTGCATTGAAAAGTCCTTGCGTTCTTTCCTAACGCCCCTTAGTCCAAGTCAATATTACGGATGCTTTTAGACTCTTATCTACAATATATTACTTGGGCCATGGGACGGGTTAATAAAAAATTCATTGACCTATGATCTATCAACGGTACAGATTTTCGTATAAATGCAGATCATTATTTCTGCATAGAAATCGACATATGTCTACTTCATTTCAGGTTGTAATTGACTCGAACATAAAATTCTTAATCTTTACTGATATACTTTTTAATAGACTTTGTCAGAATAAATGTTATATAAAAGGAATAATGATCATGATTATCATGTACGTATATAAAAATTATATTTGTTTGGTAATATACGAATTTAAAAAAAATTATTCAGATAAATAGAAATAGATCAGTATTATTATTATCTATTTAACATCACCTAAAAGAGCAACTCCCCTTAAAATCCAATGATCTGCATCTACTGCACTACGAAGCATTAAAGGAAATATGTAATTCAAATCGGTACGTTTAGGCTTTTTGTAAACTGGACATGAATAGAATATCCCAGGTTTACTTTTCTCACCGATTGATTGAGAAAATGCAGATACATGCACTACTGGGAGTGGAGTGTACAATAGTTTTGGTAGCGGTTCCATTAGTCTAGCTTGTTTACGATCCCAACCAGCTCCATCTAAACTAAGACCGTGAATGTAAACACCTTCAGTTGGACCTTTAGTTAATTCTTCACGCATTAATTTCGTCACATCGTTTGTTAAAGCTACATCATCTAGGGCATATTTATTTGCTCTGGCCACTTCTTGTCTCATAGCAGTGAGGAAGCCCTAAAATAAGATAGTGAACAGTTATGACAATTCGTAATTGTTAAAACAGTTGAAAAAAGTACTGGAAGGTTGCTTTATCGATGATGAAGTACTTAAGTTTTAAAATTGGTTTTTTGTTGTATAAAGTTTAATCTTTAAACTACGAAACAAGCACAAAAATTGAAGGAGTTATTTTAGTCACATGAATGCTAAAAATACAATCACTGCATAAAATAATGATATTGAAAATGAATGTTCTCACAGAAGTATCTTGACATGTTGAATTAAAGACAAAACTAAAAGTAATCTCAATAGGAGTTTGTTTTCTAGAAGTTTTTTGCTCAGAGTTGTCATTTTTACCTACTCTACTAGATCTTATAGTTTAAAATAATTTTATCTAAAGGAAAATAAGTTAGGAGAAATTGCCACTTATCTGTAGTAAGGGGTTGAATAAACGACTCATATTCTGTAATCGTTGAAATTCATTTAAATGTGCTTAGTTATGGTCGTAAACGTAGTGGTAGATGGCTAGAGATAGCCTCCAAAACCCTCTGTAGGCCTTAATAATAAAATTTGCTTCTGCAACCCTGGTTGTACAGGCGACTGAACAACTAATCGTTTGATTTTTTCGGCAGAAGTGTATCTAACGAGTCAAATACTTCGAGGAAAGTACACAGTTATTTGGATGGCATTATTTACTTGTTAATGTTTCTCGGAGTTACTGATTGTGGCCTAAAAAACTGAATACACCAATAGAAAAGGTCTCCATTTGATGTTTGACAATGGGCTATTAGTTTGCATCTGGAAATTATCTCCAAAAATAAACATTCTTACATTAAACTCACTTGGGGATTAAAAAATCCTGTCATCCAATAGCAAATTGGACGACCTTCAAAAAGCCAATTACTAAATTGAGCATTCCTGTCAAGTAAATCCGTGAACCAAAATCCAAGAGTTGCTGATTCCCATGACATCTAGAAAAGGTTGGCAAAACAGTATTTCTTTTGGAATTTCAAACATTATAATAAGTCATTAAAAACCAGGAACTGATTTTGTTTTATGTAAAGGGACTCGAAAAGTTTGTCAGTGTGAACCGGATGATTCGGGTTTTAATCCCGCAGTATGCTTCAGTTCCCTCAAGATCATAGTCACCTTTGCCGAAAAGTGCCAACTAGCACGAAACTAAAGTTGACTGCCTCCAACCACCTAACATTTCAGCATGGTATACGAGTCACGTAGACTGGTGGGTTAATTGTAACCTGATCGACAGGATTCGTTTGACATTAAAGGATTAGTGGTACGTAAGACTAGTCACTACTCAGTGGTCAACTAATTGTTAGCTTTAGCTCTTCTGTAAAATCATATCTTCTATCTACCTATTTATGCTCGTGTTTTAGTGTTGATGTGCATTGCATCTTGGCATCAATGATCTTATGTGTTCCTCAACTTTTATGTTTTCAGTGTATGCGTATATATACAGTGGGAAATATAAAACCATCCAGTCAATGATCCATTGGTTTAAAGATTGAATATTCTCCATAAGAACTGAATTTCTTGAACTCGATATTGTGAAAAATCAATCAAGTTCACTGTTAGGTAGCAATCTCAATTTAAATTACTATTATGGTTGTGGTTTTCAGCTTGGCTTCGATTGTTCAGAACTAAACAAATTTTTTCCCCTTGCAACCAATAGTCAGATTCGTGTCCATACTTTACATTTTTACATAAATCACAGTTAACTTACTTTTCTCCATGTACTTGGGATACGCGCATCAAATATGTTATCTAATGCATCACGTAAATTTTCTGACATTATAATTGTACCATCAATTGCTAATTTTAAATCACTCAATGTTGTACGAACATTGGATATAACACGTTGCATACGATCAACTTCTTGTTTTAAAAATATATGAAGCGGTTTTAAATGATCCATTTTAATTAATCTTTCTTTTACCTGGATTAAGGAATAAAGATATGAGTATTTATTTTAATTTGAACTAATGAATTCATTTTTAATAAACACGGATAATATGTTACTCTCAAGTGAATGCGATTAGAACATTTTTGTTGTCTGCCAAGAACTAATTTATACTTTGGAAATTTGTTGTTGTTTGAAATGAAACAATGTATACATCGCTTAGGAAGAAATTCTAAGTTATGACAAGAAAGGGATGAAATTATTGAGATGAAACAACTATGTTGAGGTTAAAATAATAAGGTTATCTCGTAAATAAACTACTTGTTATAAATCAGAGAAAATGTGTTGAGTTAACTTATTTGTTTTACTGATGTGTTCCAGGAATTAGGATTTTCTTCATTAAGGATTGTTTCCATTAAACCAATCGCGTTCTCTTGATAAAAGTAGGTCACTACAGGACCCCCCCCGCTGATATGCGTTTGTGTGAACTTTGAAGCCCGTGAATTTGCTGTTCGACGAAGCATCAATTAGCTGCAGCCTACGTGAATCAACTAGCGATTCGTAGTGCTGTAGGAAATCAATACCGAATATGGCTGTGGGAACATCGGCAATGATGAGCGTCCACAGATACTGTCGTCGGTTGCCCAGGTTGACCGTGAGTTGTCGTGTACCATAGGTAGGAATGGTTGAGCCATTCGCAGCGCGTAGCCGAAGCGTCGTAGCTTGTGACTTACTGTTACCGAGAGGTACGACAGAAACTTGGGCACCAGTATCTACTAGGTACCTAGCGTTTATGCGATAATCGTGCACATAAAATAAACGGCCAACCTGGGGTGAAGGGCCGGCGAGTACGGCCGCTTTTACTCGCCGGCCTTGGAATTTCCCGCCTTGTATGGGCACGCGGCTCGACAACGGCGGGAACCGGACTCGAAGGAGCGGTGAAATCAGCACTGACCTCCACTTGCTTCCGAAGCCGCCTTTCGGCGTGGCTTGGGGGATGCCCTCGTTGGGCGAGCGGTTACGGCTTTTCGAGCGCGTGATCTGGTTCGAGGGACTTAGGGTTCGGGTATGTTGCAACGGTCTCGAAAGCTAAGACGTGTATGAATACAATCGTCCCTATCACCTTGAGCCTGGAAGTGACTAGCGTCCATATCTACGTTCGAACGTGCCGTTGAGGCAACTATGTAGTTGTCTCTGTTGCTAGTCCCTGCTAATATTTTGTCTGCTGTGAGAGCCAGCTGATTGAATGGTGCGTCCTAGAGCAGTGCCGTGACTGTTGATTGGATATGTGATGGTAAGGATTCGAGCCGCAGTTCCTTAACAATTTCAGGATCGGCTGCCGTAGGTCCTGCGAGAGATTGCAGGCGCGTGAGGTGGTGGCTCGATTTAGCATCACCGAGGGGGTGACGTGCTAATTACGTCCTCAATCGTTCCTCCCTCGATGGGAGGAAATAACTGATTATCGCCTTCTTGAGACGATCGTAAACGTTCGAGTTGAGGACTACTTCACGGACAGCTACTATATGATCCCCGGGTAAAGATTCAAGAACGTAGGCGTATTTTTGCCATTTGGCTCGTAATATGATGGGTCTCGGATTGAGACTCCAGTGCGGCAAGCCAAACTTCCGGTTCGTGGGGGAATAAAAGATACAGGTCGAAAATGTATATTCCGTTTTCTGGTCCGCACCACTTCGAACGCAATCCTCAGATCATGGATACAAACCAATATTGTGTGGTATGCTAACTCGAGCAACAAATACAACACACCTCCTGGTACCGTTCTACGTAAAAGATCTTCGGTGGCAACTCGAGGACCAACAATCGTTTCCTGTTCCGCCAACCCTTTCGTCCTACAATCACACGTTTGCAGATCAGTCCCACGAACTAAACTGCTACCTATCGAAAGTGTAAACCCTTTCTAGCGAGGGGCTCCTGCAGTGATCTACTTTTATCAAGAGAACGCGATTGGTTTAATGGAAACAGTTATTATTATAAACAATTGTACCAGTGATTGTTTTACTGTACTTGTTTGTTTAACTATATTAAAGACATTCTTCCTTCTGTTGGTTGTGACCTTGCACGAACTTACGTTTGCTCAGTAAATCCGCTTGTACGATCTCGGTATTCTTTCGATACCATTAGATCACCAACAAATATACTTAGCTACAACCTTCAATTGCCTTCTGATATTTGGTACGCAACCTTCCTGTAGTGGTTATCATAGTCAAACGCGATTCGACGCCACGTCACACTTGGCTGGCAAGTCACTTAAGGTTCTCGATACCGGGTGCTTTTACCGCATATTCCTAATTTAGCAGGCAGTCATAATTCCCACAGTATACGAAACTAGATTGTCTTTCAGAAAAAGATTAACTCAACTATTTCAAATACAGCCAAGGATTGATGAAGTTATTAAATACCCGCATTCCAACATTATTCACCCCAAATGTTTATCACCTGGTTTTTTGCTAATATATACAGGAATCTGGTTTCAATAGTTAAATGTGTAACTCGATTGCATTTGAATCGAATCGTACTGGATTCGAGTCCCGGGGTGTAAGTCAAGAGTGAAATGCAAGCACATCTACTTGACGAGTCCTAAATAAGACGAGGCGCTTGTCCTAAATTCTACAGATACTACCATCCATCTCTGCTTAATATACAGAACTCACCTCGAATGGATTATAATCGGGTGGTAATTTTTGTAAAATATCATCAGCCATTTTGTAGACAACAGATTCTCTTGTTTCACCTCCACCTCCTCCGCTATCTTTTGGTTGAATATTAACAATAGTTGATAGCATCGAACTGACAGTATTTGTAGAGTAGCTGAAATGAAAAAAACCAACCAAATAATTGTATCAACAAGTGTAATTGTTGATAGAAATATTAATTTTATCAGTATGAAGTTAGTGCTGATTGTTGAGTATTATTGACATCAAATACTGAACTGAATCCAACAACCATTGAAAACCTGAAAGGATTGGATAGCTGTTTCGTTCTAGTATAGGACTCTTCAGAAATGTGCATCCCCGACCTCACCATTGGAGTTCGAACCCAAGAACTTCAGTCTAGCGACAAGCGCTTAGTCATTAGACTCTGAGCTGAAACCTAACGGTATACATGTCTAACTCTGATCGACTTGCGATAATGTGCAATGATCTTCGATTGCTGTTGATGGGATCATGGATGCACACCTCTGAGTAGTCCCATATTAAAGCGAAACAGTTACCCACTTTTTCATTAGTTATTTTACTCAGTTTGGTCTTTGATCTCATTAAGATACCAATTTTAATTTAATTCCTTTGATTTGGAACTTATATTCGGGGAGTGTTGATTTATCTTTAATAAAATATGGAATGCCTTCTAATTGACTATTAGATCTAGTTATAGGAGTAAAATAGGTACTTTTTAGTTCCTACGTCACTATAATACTTAGTCACCTAACTCTACTTGACTAAATAAAGCTTAGCTATCTTTGTGGACAAAGTTCATTTGACAGATGACAATTTGTAGTTTGTAAACTATTAATTGGAATAAAATGGCAACCCTAATTTACTGTTGACGTGTCTGGTGAAAGTGAGTTACATTTATCCAATGAACGCAGACAGGCAGAGTTGTGCTTTGTCATAATATATTTTGTCCTGGTCATATTTTGTTTCTGATCGTTGGACAGATGATAAACATGTTACGTAAACATGTTACGTGAGTAGGCAACTTCAATGTTATAAAAACTCAACAAGCTAAGCGTACGCCTGTGAGATAGGTTTTGGGTTAGGTTTCCGGTTCTTGGATCGTGGATGCATCCTGTTGAGCGGTCCCACAATAGGACGGAACGGTCATTCGGTGCATCTAGGTTTTCAGTGGTTGTTTAGCTTAGATCGGTTCGTGATATCGGTAAAAAAAATCTTGCGGTATTAGTTTGCGGCTAATACAAAGACATAATTGAAATGAATTCGTACTTTTTTAGATGATTAGATGTCTTCATTTTGCTCAAAAATATTATGAACTCCTGGCGCACTGACAAGCACAGCGAGCCATTCAAATCCCCACGAAAATTTAAAAATTATTCAAACTAATCAATGTTAAATAGCTTGAGGTAAATCATTGGAAGATGATAAGTTGACTCGTCTTCATATTACTTAATACCAAAATGCCAACGTAATACATCAAGCCATGAAATACTGTCTTTTTTATTGAGAAGTGCTAATCACTCATCACTGCATTTTATCAAGCTCAGATTTGGGTACTATCTCCCATAATGCCGTAAATCTTCTCAACTGAGCAGCCCCGAATGAGGATGAAATATTTGTCCAGTCTTCTATAGTTTTCATGGGTTCATTAGCTGAAGTCCGTCCGTGATTCAGATGAGAAAACGAAGAAAATAAAAATCACTTCGATAATTGAGATTAAAGTTAGTCTTAGATATACTTGATAACAGTCTTCTCCAATAAATGGAATCAGCTATAGATCGGAAGAAATTTATGCATAACCTGTCATCAAATCATAATCTTCAACTATGTAAGCTTTATTGTCTCCACTTGATATAACTGGTTATCAGTTATTCTCTTCAAAGAAATATGTGATTGTAAGGAATCTCACCAGAGTATAGTTGTTATTATTTTGATTTTTCGGTTGTGAACATCTGATGAGTGTTAATCTTTAAAGCAAAACACATCTAATGTTTAAATGATTGTAAATTCTGTTCATTCAACTCAAAAAGAAACGAAAACTTCTAACATACTCGATCACTTGAAGTTACTTGGTCTGGCAACTGATTGAATTGATTTAATTTACTTAATTCAATTAAATTTAACCATGTTATATCTTGTATCCATTTTTTGGGTTTCGGTGCAACAGCATTCAAATCCAATGCCGCACCACCTATTTGAACGAAAAAAAAACGTTCGCATGAAATTTATTACAATTTATTCTTATAAAAATGCATTTTATCATAACACTAGTGTGAATACTTTGAAGCACATACAAGCAATTTCAAAGTATCTAGCCTCTAGTTTTATTCAAAATTTATCGATCAACTTTCAACGTGATCGGTAGCTCAAATTAGTGTACACTTCTGTGAATTCTCTTTTTGGTATTGAATGGTTGGGAACAACTGGTAGGAAGACGCGAGTTTAAGTTTTTTGTTAGTTGGAACCAATCAATAAAACAATTGAAATCACCAATAAACTGATGTCAGGAATGCAGCAACCCCTGCATTAGTAGGCCTCGACATACAAAAGGGAAAAAGTAAGATTCAGTTCCCAAGCTCCCCTAGTAACCTCTTGGCTAAATCTACACAGCGACTTCAAGGTTTGTTCATGTATAGAAAATCTAGGGTTTTTATAGTATTTTTGATGGCCTTTGGTTTCCAGAAAACTCCACAATGCTATTAAACATAGTAGCAGTATAGGAAGCTATCCAGTCAGAAACTCGATATGTGACTTTCTACTTTCTAGATGTTTCTGGTAAAACTTCTGTTGAATGCTGATTGGATAAAATGCTAATAATAATGGACTGATCTTAGTGAAGTTACCATTGAAAACCTAAAACACTGGAATACCACTTCGTCCTGGTATGGGACTCTTCAGCAGTTCATATACACGACCCGCACGCGAGAATCGAACTCTCGACCTTCTGTGTCGCGCGAGGTTGCTTAAAGTCTAGCCCACTGAGCCACTTAGAGATCAAGTTTATACATAACTAAAACACTGGTAGCAAAAATATAAATAACACCTTTATAATCGATTATCAATTATTTAGTGACTATAATGGATGGAGTTCCAGTTAATTTGTAAAATAAAAGCTCATAATTAGGATAATATAAAAATACCATAAACAGGTGTAAGTAAATAGGTAAAAATGCCATAAGCCGATTATCTGATAAATAAAGATTAAAAATATATATATTCACTGATTCACTAGAGAAGTTCTACATTTTTATTTGCCCAATCTTAACAGATTGGAGATACAAAATTTTTCCATTTGTCCAATGGTTTTAAGCGTTTTTCCAATAGGAAAATATATTTATAAATTGTTATCGCTTAGCATAATGACTTGTCACTTGACTGATGGAAATTCAACCAACACTTAAGGCTGAACCACATGATATCTGTTACAATGAATTGAACGATTGGTATAAACATATAAGTCTGTCACAAGTGGAGAGCTGAATAACTAAGTGGTAAGATCTTTGACTGTGACACTGGATGCTGATACAAGCTCGAATTGCATGAAAATATCAGAAGTAAGGAATAAACAATATGACACTAGTTATATTTATGAGATCGATGTTGATAAGCTAGACAAGTACAAACAATGCGTCTGTGCATACATACCAACTTAAGGTCAAAATATAAACAAAATACGCTATTAGAGGAAGTCAACTCTTCACCTACTCAAGGTGTCGGGCCAAACAGCGTTATCTGTGTCAGAAGGATTATTATATATATACCTACGATTTTTGTGAATCACAATTCCGTTTGTTGATTGAAGGTTCCTTCTTGTTTCAGTCTCCTACTTTGCATAGTAGGTTTTGCACACCGTTGGATATGTACATCGTAACGGAGTCGGACAGAAGAATGTAACAGATACAAATATAAGATGACAGGTTTCGTAACTAAATTTAAGGTGATAGCAACTAGTTACCTTTAATGAAAATTTGAAATTCTTCAGGTTTCACCTCTTTCATGTGCATTGCAATTTTTAAGGTTAACAATACAGTGAATGTAAACTTGTCTACTTCATAAAATCCTCTTGCTGTATAACGGTACACTTCAAATGTTAAATAATCAATAATATTTGCTATACGTTTTTGCATTTGTGGTGATTTCTGTGATCTAGCCATGGATATATCGAATAAACCAAGAAATTGACGTAATGATGTTTGGTACATTACATTAACCATACTCATTTCAACAATTAAAAAGTATAATAATGAACCACGTGACGCTACAGGACGATATTCTTCACGTGCTGCATTAATTTTCACTTCGGTATCAACTGCTACATTTAACTTTTCTCTCACTTCATTCGATGTCATTTTAGTTACATTCAGCATTTCAATTAATGATTCATCTTCAACTAAACTACCTTCAGTGGTTGTTAAGCGATATAATAGATTATCTTCTAATTCTTTCATTTTACGACGATTTGTTGCCACATCTTCAAGGAGTTTAGTTCTTTCCGTCTCTAGTTCCTTGAGAAATGAGAAAATAATATAGAAAACAAACATAAACGTTTAATACCAGGATTTTAATTGATAGAGTTTGATATCTCCGTAGCTGACTGATTAGTTTATTAACTTAAAAATTGTCCTTATTAAAAACTAGATAAAAAGTTGTTTGTCAAGAGATTGACATTTATTGAATTCAGTGACGAGTGAAGTGATGAATAAAAATATGAGATGAGGTAGAAGTAACCTTAACCAAAACCTCCAAAATTGAACAAAATATAAATTGAACTTTTCCCAAAGTTCAGGAAAGTTTCAAGCTAAATGAATAAATCGCAAATTAAAAAGTGATAATAATGTCAAAATCAGGTTCAGTATTTAGGATTAAAACTGGAATATAAAGCTTAGGATTTATATGAAGAATTTAGGATTCAAGATTAGAGTTTGGATTTAGATGCGCATACAGACTAGGCATAAAGTCTAGTTCCAATCCCAAACCCTTGTCCTAAATCCTGAAATATAATCCAAACTATAATTCATTAACCTAAAATTCTAATGTTATCTTTAATCCTAACTTTAAATCCTAAACTTTAAATCCTAATCCAAACTTTCGGTTCTAGTACTACACAGGGAAGGGAACCGATCTCACTTTTATGGTTCAGCTTTACTTCAGTGGTCAACGCCTTAAAGCAAAGTGTCCTTGATAGTAATAATCAAGTCAATAATAATGACAATGACAATAATTAATAATAACAACAAAATATAGCCTACTTTTTTCTCTGTTAATATTACCAAACCAAGAAGCTGGTCTTCAAGGCCACGTATTGTAACAGTGAAATCAATGATTGATGTCTTAGCATAAATTTCTGGTGTATATGATGGATTTGGTAATTTTGTTGTAATATATAGACGAAATCCACTCATTATATCACATTCTTTATCACCAATTTTCACTTTATATGTTGAACCAGATTTAATGAAATTCTTTTCTAAAACGTTATCTAAAGCAGGATCAAGATCTTCACCAACATCTTCTATGAGTAATGGACGTCCAAGTGATAGTGAATCTTCCAAGTGTGTTCGAAAATATTTGTGATTCAATGATGTTATCTATGTGAGAATAAGATACAGTAAATAATGTTTGAATTCGATCATACCAAAATGTCTTTAAGTATGCATGTTTCGTTCCAAGCGTTTCGTGTAGATGATTGAATTTCATAATTTACATCATAAAACGACATTACACAACCATTAAGGGACAGAGAGCACTTGACAGTTATTTAATCATAATACGAACTCGGTAGTGTATCACGACTATCCCATCTGGGATCGAAACTCCATACTTCCCAATACGTTTATTAACATGAAATGGGCATATATTTAAAAGGTGATGAAACGAGAAAAATTGTGTTGCATAAGCCTACAGGTGGTCGGTTTAAAACGAACGTTATCCTGTAGAATTTTCTGAACAAAGTTAACAATATTAATAATAGTCATTAAATAGATGACTTGTTCATTGTAAAGCTCTAACCAATATCAATAGTCTGCCAGTTATTGATTAAAAATTAATTTTACGTTTTCATTCTTTTATCATCATTGCCGCTTCATTTAGTATGTTAATTTCGCTTTAATTATCCAAGTTGATTCTGTGCTTCATCGTTTACCATATAAGTTGAATCTTACCACACAATTCAACTTGAATAAAACTGGTAACTAAAATTACTATCGAGGCAATGCACTCAAAATGAGGATTTACTAATCAAATGGAGTCCTTAATATCAATATATCAATATCCAGTGCTTCCAGGTTTTCAATGGTGGTCTACCTTCAACTGACTCATGATTTCAACTTGTGAAACTAAAATTTGTTCTTAAATATATGTTATTCAGATTAGTGAATAATATTGTCCGACCGGCCATTTTTTTTTAAAAAAAACCCACCCCAATAAAAAAAATTTTCACCCCCAAATTACAATATTTTTCATCCCGTGTTTCGTCCAATGAAATGGCTATTTTCAAAAATTAGATTTAATTAGTTAGTTATGTCTTGAAAATTGTTATAAATTATCAGTACTTGTTGACGAAGCGCAATTTCAATCGTCATTATGGAGCAGAGTAACGTGCCGAGTACAAGCGCTGGTGTTTCTCACGTAACGGAAATGGAGGAAGTCTTTTTGACTACCTTGTTTCTGGTTGCGTTTCCATCGGTTGAAGCGCTAAAGACCACTATCACAAATTTTGAAAGATCGACTTACAGTCATTATGTAGTGAGAGATTCGCATATTGGCAGAGATCAAAAATCGTACATTAAATTTGTGTGTTGGCGAAATGGGCGTATAAGATCTAGCGGTTCGTCACAACGTATTAGACGGAGGAGGTAATTTGGTAAATGGTTCTATAATTTTTTTAACGAAAGGCTTCTATGAACACCCAATGTCCGGTCTTCATGTTTTGTAAGATTATAGACGGCTATTGGACTGTTGTACGTGGGAATGTGCATCACAATCACGAGTGAAATTCCCTGAGGTACCAAGGTAATTCATGGGTGCGCAGGTTAACGGATGGGAAGTTTGAAACTGAGACCGCTTCTGATTTCCGGTACCGCTGCATCCATCAAGATGTCTGTAATATGCGGTACAAAGTGTTCTCACACGCGAACCTTCCTGGTACGCGATTTGCCAATTTATAATGTACACTATAGGTGATTACGGGAAATTGAAAGCTCACATAACATCACTCATGTATTCGTAAACTGGTTTCTAACGTTTATGAGATATAAAGGTTAAGAAAACGTAAACAAGATTTTGTCATCTAATGAAGACTAATCTAGTAATTTTATATTTAAAATATTGTGATTAATGTTCATGTTTTAGTAACACTTTTGTAAACTATCTAATAATAGTACATTTTAGCCAATTTCAATAGGAATATTTCAATATAGTGAAAATTGTAATTTTGTCGTTAAGTTAATAAGTTGATGAGACTATTTATTAGTGAATATAATTACTAAGATGAATGTGATTAAAGCTCATAGAGAAGTAAACACGATGAAGAAAATTAACTTATTTATGATTAAAATACTGACATTATAAAACAAGTTGAAACCATCATTATTGAAATGATTCATGTGATTAAAGGTTATATAGTAAGTGTTAAAAGAAATAAGAATTTTATCCGTTTCAGGAATACGAAAAACAAGAATTTCATATTCTTGTTTTATATTAAAAGTACCTGAAACCAGAACTATGCGTACGTAAGAAGTACGTCTGATCGTCAACTAAGCCTTCATTGTGATTCATAACTACTGATTATATCAAGGTATTCATTTGCACAGCTATATAACTATGAATTACTGATACAATGTGATTGTAGCAGTAATAAAAATTCTCATAGAATATTCAAAAATAAAAAATAATTTAGCGAACAATCGTTTTCATTAACTTCATCATCACACTATACAATTATAAGTCCATAATTTTTATATTTTATAAAGTCCAAAAATAAGGCATGGCATTAATGAATTTGACAATGTAATGTGTTAACAATGGTGAACGTTAACATCTGTGACGATATATATATATACTTACAAATTGTAATATTTGCAAATTAGAAAGGTCATTCAATAAAGGTCAGGATGATTTGCAGCAAAGTGTTCAGTCACAATAAGTGGAAGAGCATTATAGGAAAATTTAAAATGCAAAAAATTTTGTGTCAATGAAATACATAGTATGAGAATTGAATCTTGTCAATTGACATAATAGTAATGATAATGATCATAAGGACAATAAATAATAATAACATTTTAAATGTTCATTGATACAGTTGACCTTATTCATATTTATACATTTAAAGTCGATAGATATTTGTTGAGTCAGACGACGTAGGCTTGTTCATTTACACTTCGTGAAACTGATATTTCAAACGTTTGTCAAAATTAGTTACATTCGTTATGTCTAGATAATTCAGGTTTCATATTACAGTTAACAATATTCACACATGATTGATTAAACACAGTAGTTTTTATTACGACCAGAAAATTAATTTTAAAGTACAGAACTACAAATAATTTACAAGTGAAAACAATAAACCGTGTTTCAATGGACTTTTAAAATTAACCGAATTTAAATCTAACGTTTTCTAATTCTCATTATGAATGACCATTTACAAAACAACCATTTACTAAATATTCAGTGCCTATTGCCGAAAAATTATTACGTATTTGATATACCGTCAAAGTCGTTCCATCAACTGATGGTTTACGGTTGGTTCACCTGATTTATACTTATTGTAATCAGTAATTTATCAAGATGAATTATTGATATGTTGATTTCTTTTTCCCATTAACAGACCATGTGTTACTAAAAAACGTATGCACACACTTTGGTGATAATTTGTTTATTAATTTGGTATTAAACATTTGACTACCGACCTCATTCAGTAATCACTATTATCAAATATTCAAACCGGTTTTCAGTTGCTTTTTTCCAAAAACTTTAATTTTATAGTTCAACTGACCTGCAATTCATTTTCAGCTTCTTTACGTCTTAACCATGCTTTGCCTTGACCTTGAGGATCAATTAACAATGGGTAGCGTTTAGCGCGTGTTACAATCAACCCATTTTGAATTGATAATTCATCATTAGGTAAGCCTTGAACACTCCATTCGCTTAATGTCGCATTATCCACCAACATTGTGATGTAATTAATGTCCTTTTTTAAGTATGAGTATATTAGAAAAAATTTGAAAAAATCATGTAGAAACCATCAATAACTTAACCATACACTGTGGACTAATAAAATGAGTTAGGAACTGAAAATTTTACTTTCATAATATTAGAAACATTTTAGACAAAATGTCAAATAGTCTTAGGACTTTCAGAATTGGTAACAATTTGCATAATGAATTAGAGAAACGTATTCAATTCTTTGGATCAGTTTTACCGGGTAATCATGAACTAGTTTCTAAAACTTATTTGACCAATCAAAGAACAGTTAACGTTGAAGAATAACATGAATTCACTGTATTTCAGGGTTTCTCTTCAGCTGCCTACAACCTGAAAATAGTAGTATTATCAGCATGGAGATTTGTGGAAATTGTAGTATTGTAACAGTTGAATTCACAAGTCGATCTAAACGACATCACCACTGACAACCTGGAAGCACTGGAGGGCCGTTTTATCCTAGTATGGGACAGTGCGCATCCACGACTCCGCGTTAGTTCAATCTGTGTCAGGTGTGAGACAGTTATCCACCCGAGATAATGGATGAAGGGTTGCGCAGGAGTATTATTTGGTTGTTTTAAATCATACATGTATACATTAGTGTATGGCCATGATGAACAATTTATTGAAAATAAATTTCTTCGCTCGATTCGTTCTTTAACAAAATATCAAAAAGGGAATTTTCACCATAACACATTAATGTTATAGTTATGTAGCGCATAAATCAAAATTGACTGAGTGCAGATCAGATAAGAAGTGAGATTTAATAACTAGTGTCATGAAAAGAAAAATTATGCAGCAAACATTTATGGATGAGTTCAACACGGCAAAGCAAGACTGAATCTTTTTGGACGCATAAATTTGGTTTAAGTCTTTTTATGGCAATTGCTTTGGCAAACCTTAGTAAAGTTGACATTTTTTGTTTATTAATTATCTTGAAGGAATTTAAGACATCATCACCATAATCACTGTCAATCAGATGGCATGAGATTGCGCTGCTGAAAATGTGCTGTCTTCATAGTCTAGGCTTCTGTAGAATGTGCTCAGAGATGCGGATATTAACCCTTCCTTATTTTCTTCCGATGTGTGTGCGTTGGTATGTACATTTAAAGTGATAGACATAATAAGCCGTAATATAAGGTGGGAATTTGTCCATAAATGACTGTATTAATTAGCAATTCGTTTGACACAGAGAGAACAACTTGGCAGTTACATACATCCTTTTTATTATAGCTTTTAATCTAAAATCAGTCTTTCCAGATATTTTGTTACCCATGAATCCAAGTCTTAAAAATATAAGCTTTTGCTCAACCATAGTATGCTCCATTTTTTTCTCTTTAGTCTTCCCATATTTGGTTATGAAGTTCTAAAACTTTAGCCTTTCATTAGTAAGTTACTGTCATATGTTAAAAACCGATATTTTCTAATTCCCGTCAGTTATTTATATAAAACCTGTTTGATGACGAAAATTATGAAGGCAATTAAACACAAAGGCAAGTCGTTCGTCATTTATATTTGTTGCTTTGTAGCTTTGATTTTTGCTAGTTTAGATCTTAGTAGTTCTTTAGACTTATGCTAGAAAACCATAAAGTACTAGACAAGTATTTTCTCTTAGTGAGGAACTCCTCAGAAGTGCACATTGACGACTAACCAGGATTAAATTCAGGATATCTAGACCTCACAGAGAGCTATCAAACATTCAACCATTGAGTTCACACCTAGTAGTTTCGACTTCCTAGTTTTCAATGTTTGTCTAAGGTCAACCCATAATGTAAGCTACAAAGTTCAACAACAATCCAAAAACCACGAATACTAATAATAAGTTATTTTAATAAATCTTAGAAAGAACGTACATCAGAAAATGGTATTTTATTTTGTACTAATTCTCGACGCCAATTCTGATTTAGTAAATTACGAAAGTCTTGATTAAATGGTCCAGTATATGAAAGAAATCCAGTTGCTAAAAGTACATCTCCAACTAGCCGATTAATTTGCTCTTCAAATGTTTGACTTGCTTCTGTCCATCTAATACGTTCACCTAAATAAAACATTCAAAATAAGGTATTCTGTAAATTGATTGAAATCTTTGATTAAAACAACATAATATGAATTCAGTATTGCAGGAAAACAATAATTGTTTAATAATTTTAAGGCGTATATTAATCCAAACGTAGAATTCTGGGTTGTTTCCTGCTTCGTAAATTGTTCAAATTTGATAAATTCGTAAGATAACATTATTGTCTGAAACTACTAAAAAAGTCAATGGAAAAAAGATAGTAATTTGAGTCAGTGTGTTTGTGAAGATCGTTGAGTTTCAGTGAAAACATGAACTGGTCTGAGTTAGACCACCAGTGAAATTCAATAAACTCCACAACCCTATAATTACGGTTATCATGTGCTCGGCAGTGCCTAGCTTCGAGTTCTGTGGGAAACTGTGACCGTTGGATCTAATCCATGTTGGGTGCGAGGCAGTTATCTAGTGGTGGTTAGGAGCACGTGCGCTGGACTGATAGGTCCTGGGTTCGAATCCCGCGAGACGGAATCATGGATGCGCGCTGCTGAGGTGTCTCACAATAAGACGAGTGCTTCCAGGTTTGGGAGGCAAAATCTGACTCACACGTTCGCGTCGTGCCTCCTGGATAGTGGGACGAGTGACTCATGAACTAATGTGAGTGGTAACCAGGGCGGTAGAGATTGAGCTAATTACCCACTCGACCGATACCCTCAAATTAATTACGAACTCCACAAAAAAAACGCAGCAGATTTACTATTGGATGGATAAACGGCAAAAAAACTGGCAAAAGTGGTGCATGTAATGTACGGGGTCGCTCCTCACGGTATAAACTCCAACTGTTTGCAGTAACAGTTATTCTAGTCCCGGTAGTTGTGTCGTGCTTCGATGTGGCCTGTTTCTCTCCAGAACGGCCTACTAGGCTTCACCAACTTGTTTAGCTAGAAGGAGCACCTACCGAACATAACAGAAGGTGGTTGGAAAACATCATGGATTGATTGAAGTTAGACATTAACAAGGTTGGATTTCGGCTTATGCATTCATTCACAAAGCTAAGGGTTCTGAGTCCAATTCCTGCGTCCAGGATTGTGAATGCGCACTACTGAGTGGTTTTATACTGAGACGAACAGACTGTCTAGTGCCTCCAAATTTTTAATGGTGGTCGAGCTTAGACCGGTTCATGATTTCAGATAAGCATTCAGGATATTTCTTATAACATAGTCGACGCCTGTATAATCGACAAACTTTCGAAGAATTCAACCTGATCTTAATGATCAGTGATTATTGGTGATACATTAACAAACATGAGGTTGTTTGGTTAGATGATCAATTTTTAGATTTACTGGAATAATTTTAAAGAGATAACTTGTAAAAGTGTGTAGTAAGTTATGGTATTTTTAATAAGTCATATCTTTACAATAGCCAACACTAAGTTTCATTTATACACAAGTGATTAGTTGGAATGGAATTTTAGAAATAAATGTTAACTACAACAAATTTTGTTCCTAGTTTATTTTTTTTAACTAATAAGCACTTGAAAAACTTGTTTTTTATTCTTACCCGCAAGACCTTCTATCAATGCTGTAGCATTACTCATTTTTCTTCTACATCCGTCAGCCTCATCTAAGAGTTTCTGTTTGTCAGCCATTGCACGATCATATTCCGCTTGGACCAAATCCAATTCCCTTTGCTTCTCATCTAGTTGACCCTGAGCGACCGCCAATTCAGACAAAGCTCCTTCCAATCTCTTTTCCTGTAGTGCTAACATTGACTATATATTAAAAAATAAAGCAATAAAAAATTTGTTCATCAAAACGCTCTCATAGATTATGGCAAACAATTCAAATGAGCAAACGTTTTACTGAGTATTCGTAGGGATTTGATTGAAAGATTTTTCACAGGGTAAACAGAAATAAGTTATCAAACCACAGAAAACTAGGGAGCACAAAAAATTCGAGTCTCACACAGAACTAGAGTTCAGTAGTTCACACTCTTGGGATACTGAAACTGAATTGTGCCCCAAATTGGAGATTTGGCTGGTAAGTATTTTATCATTAAATTGTTTAAATACTATTACTTTGTGATCTATATTAAAAACTCGATTTCTTTAGTAGTTGGTCTCATCTGGAAATTTATGGAAGACTTGACAAAAAGAGATGTCTGTCAAGATTAGTTTGAAAGTTCTTAATTTATTAAGTGATGATGTAATGTCCGTTATGATGTGGAAAATGTCAAAATACAATGAATTAAAAAAACAATCAAGAAAAATATTAATTTAATTTAGTTGAAAGATATGTTTCACTTCCACAGAAGTAATAGTTTGAACAAGAAGTTTGGCATTACACCTTGTTATTTGTACTTTCCAACAAATCAATGATTTATTATTTATATCTTGTCTGTTATATGTTTTTTTATCAACCAAGAGCTTCCTAACTTTATCTTGGTCACTAAGATAAGCATTTAGGTTGTCTAAGTAATCGTTTCGATTTATTAGGCTTATTTCTGCGTGTATTATCTAATGGTAAGTAAATTACCACTTTTTTTAGAATTTCATTTCATTAGTGATTTATAATATAGTCAAATGCATTGGGCTTATTAACTGAAATATCGAATTCCTGTCAGGAGTACGATAAATAAATGTTATTTATAGTATAAAATTTATAAAAAATCATTCAGATGAGGTGGCAATAAGGTAAGTAGGAATAAAGTAACTTTAATGGATCTACATTACTGTGGGTTTTTGTATATAAACTTTGTGAAATCTACCTTTAAACTAGTCACTAGTGAGGACACGTTTATTATGAAATAAGGTTTATTTGAGCCCAGAGCACGTGTTTTATTCTATTTAGGACTTGTCAGTTAAATGTATTTACTATCTAATGTTGATTTTCATACAGAGATTAGAGCTTAGTGTGTTTCAGTTCAAATACTAAAACATCAATATTCACTGATCGATTGAGTTATAAGATCTTACAAATATAGATCAAGTACTTCTTAATCTTGCCCATACTTCTATCTTTAACCTTGTGATATTGATTTTAATAGCTAAACCATACAGAAATGAATTCAATTTTAGTCCTCTTAGCAAGTGTTCAGTATATCATAGGATAAAGTGCTGGCCAAAATAGAAATATTAGGAATTTCATTCCATTTATTGATAGAGAATATATCATTTATATAATGTAGTTAGTTTTTTGGACTGGATTTTGTAAGGTTGTACTATTTTAGGTTATTATCACAATTAGGAGTAATTTCTTAATGAACGATTGAATTACGTATTTTTATCGTTCATCTAACTGTTTAAATATTCAATAGAAGACATATCGTTAGGTTTGTTATTAAAATTGAACTCAATAGATTGATTTGCCTAGATAGTTCTTATTTTATTCACGTTTTTTTCATATTGAAGAGACTTTAATTCAAATCAGAAATATAATCATTGTAGGTAGCAAAAAATATAAATTTCTAGTAAACATAACATTTTAAAAAAATGTTTATATACTAATAGAGTGTATGTATTTGTGATAAATTACCTTAAGTGGTAAAACTTCTTTATTAACAGCAAAAAATGAAGCCATAGCCTTCGTCCATGAACATAAACCAGCAACATCACCACAAACACGTTTAGCTTGTTCCATATTAAAATCATCCATTTCGAAATAAGGTAACATTAGTTCCACTGTTTCTTCATTGATTGTGTCCTAAGTTCAAAAATAATGTTATCTTCACTATGAGTTATTAACATCATAATTAATTAATCCTACTTTTATAATAGATAATTTGTCAGAGCCAGTTCTAAATCAAAAGTAATTTTTTTATATTCTGTCTATAAACGTTTGGAACTCTTGAAAAACTTTTCAAAAGGCTGGAGAGCCTGAATGACCAATTATCGTTCGAAAAAATTCTAGAAAACCTCTAGTTGTGTTTTCGGTACACTGATCGGAGAATAACGATTTCGTTATCTGTTTTAAAATCCCACTTAGAATCTACTAAAACTGCAAGGTCACATAATTCTACAAATACTCTTGTTTTCTGCAGACACACAGACCATCGAAGTAAACCTTCTCTCATGAGTTCGGTCTTTTATTTTTTATTCAAGATGAAGAATAGGTTTCTAAAAATTAGAAAGCGGTTAGAAGGTCGCTATCTAAGATTAATGTCTAAAGCACATCGGTAAATGCTAATTCATGACTGGGTTACTCATACTAGTTAGAGTATTGTAAATCGTACTAACCACTTCTTACAGTAATGTAAATTGTTGACTAAAGATAAGCTTAGGGTGATCAGATCAATCTTATACGAACTGATTAGCTTTTGGTTTTGTGGGATACTGAAGAATTTAACGTCTAGGTCCTGCATAAAAATCGATAGCACATCACTGTTGTGAACGGGAAATTAAGAAGCCCAGACAACTACGAAAGCCATTTTCTTGGGACGTTAATTCATTTCATTCAAACCCTGTAAAACACTCATATTTATTTTTGTCCCTATCTTATTCTACATAACATGAGCTTTCGTTCTATGTATCATTCACTACCATACCTTTTTTTGTTCCGAAAATATTGTAATTTAAACATAATATTTTGCACCGTATTTTCTACCCTAATTTCCAGTTTCGGGCATGATTGTATTTTTCCAAATTATCGTACGTCGTGGTCAAGATATTCACTTATTTATTCATGTACATTTTTGTACTAATCCGAATTCAGAGAATCCAGAGTTCAGTGTTCCAACTGTCTTATCTTCTCTCACTTGCGTGCTTGCAAACCAATCAGGTTCTAGAATAGTTATCTCCCTACCCCATCTCGAACTCACGCGTACTAGACTCAAGGTTAAGCCACTCAGCCTATCGCATCAAGGTCATAATTTAGACTAGACAGATCAGGTTCAAGTCATAACAAGTATCAACGGGGTAAAAGCGATTCAGGGTCATAACAATCACTTTTTGTCATACTACTGTAAATGAATTTAAATGTTGTTATGTATATATGCTTTATGTAAATCTGATTTCCATAGATTCATTCTATATAGTTTTATGGGTATTTTCCCCTAAAAACTTCTAACAAATAATGGTCAGCATTTTCATTTATTGGAAGTTTTTTTTGTATTAAGTTAGATATTCTATAATAATTAATATCAGAAATGCTCGAAGAGTAGATTTCGTTTATATTCATAGTTCCTACTTAAAGTTGTTTTTGTTACTGAAATACTTTTAACGTAAAAAGCTCATCAGCTAAATCATATATGGAGTTAAGTGAAATATATATTGATAAGCTGTTTAATAATAATGATTTAATCGAACTGTAATAAAATGTTTTAAATTAGTATGTATTTATTCAGTTTACTAGTAAACAGTTAAGAATGAACAAATCAAAGTATTTTGTGATATCATTAGTCGTTGGTAGAAATAGTATCTAGAAGTTTACCACTATTCAGTACTATGTTTAAGGTATTGAATTAAAAAAAATTGAAAACTTTACTGAATGTTCTTAGCTCATGGAGTCGTTTACGTAATAAAAATCTCTCAAAATTCCATACTGAAGGTTGTTGAACATAAGTCAGTCACTTTATATTTGAAGACAGTTTATTCAGTAGTATATCTACAGAAATTTGATTGATAAAGCATATTTGTTGAGTCAAACCAATCAAATCTCCTTGGATAAACTTAATCGGCAGAGTAATTCTATAACTGATTGCATTTTTCTATGGAAGTTTATGATTAGAATAATATCACTAATTAAGATAAACATTTTCAACCGCCATTATGTTTCATACCTTAGGAAAATTCAATAATCCATTTAAAAAGTTTGCACCACCCATAAGTTTTAATGCTTCATTCCAACTGGGTTTAGGACAAGGACGTTCGGGATCCGGTGTGACAGTATCCAATCGTTTTTGAAATAACAATAAGACGCAATCCATAATACGCATAATCAAATGTGGTGGTCTACCAAGTTTTCTCACTAAAATATAATACGTTAAGTAAAGGAAATAATGAATTTATTTGAAGAGCACACGAGTTTTTAAATCATTCCTTAATTATGATGATAATTATAATATGAATATAGATCATACCTATTGTTCTAGTTATTAACTTTAAAATACATGAAAGAAAAATTACGGTCGGACTGAAGGCAGTAATTTAAAGCATTAATAATCTTAGTAAATTGTTGGGTAACTAAGTGAATAAACAAAACTATATTTTAAAAATTATATTTAACAGAGAATCAGTTCTATTGTACGTGGCTGAGGGGGAGAGGATTATTCAGTGAAGAATTATACTGCAGTAAGTTGATATGTTAACTAGACGGATATTTGCTTGAAATTTGTTTCCAATGATTTTAGGATGTGATTAATTCACCACGGAGACCTTTTTTATTCCCATGAACACTTTTTAAATTCTAGTGACCGTTTTAATTCAGTTCTGATATAGCAAGACAAATTGGTCTTCTGTTTCTTTCTTGATAGATTAGATTTATATTGACTTGTCTATGCACTACATGAGGTTAGAATTCAGAAAACTGTCCAGAATTCTTGAAGTTTCTTTAATATGCGTTAATCAGTCAAATAGACGTCCATGGTTAATTTTTTAAAAAGGTATTGATATAAATGAGGCTATATTATGTATGTTAATTATTCCATCATTAATGTTCATAAATGCATACAACAAGGTGAAGTTGAATTTTTTTGAATATAGTCCCCCTCGTGGTTGATATAATTAGCCAGTTTTGTAAATGTTAATTCTATCCATTTTTTATATCAGGATCTTTTGGTTAGGATAAAATGAAAGGACGTAACTGTGTTGGATTGTAAAGAAAACCACAAAATATTGTTAACTTCATTCAGTGTTTTTTAGATGTTTACACATACATTTAGACTATCCATTCTGCTATCTCTAAAGAATAAAACACTTTTAAAAATGTCATTTAATGGTTATTGTCCCGTAAACGTTACGGAATATTTAATTTATCGAATTCTTTCAACTGTTTCTGAGACAAGAATTTGATAGTGAGTTGTACATTTTTGAGGAGTATCTGTACACAATAACGATAAAACTAATTTCGTCGAGTAACTCTTCGACCACAAATCGGGTGACATCAAAATGTTTTTGATCAATAAGTGAGTATTATTATTTCATTCCTCTCGATGAAAACAGATGTGTCATTTATCCAGCCTATCCAAATCCGTAGTCAGATTAGTTGTACAGGTTTAGTCAACATACTTTGAGCCACAGCTTTGACAATTAGTTTAAATATAAGGAATCTTATTCATATCTCACTGAAATATGAATAAGTGAAACTAACACTTTGAAATCGTTGACAAATAAAGAATTAGAACAACACATATAAGCGAACAATTGTTTTCAATTAGATCGTCATCAGGCCTCCAAAGTGGAAAATATTAATGTTAGTATGAAAAATATGATCTCATTGGATGTAGGATCTTTGTTCACTAACGTATCACTTATAAAAACTGAGTTCATATGCAAGCAAATATCAGAAAACAAATAAACATTGGCTTGCCTAACGATAGTCTAAAGGAACTGCTCTTAAGATGCACGCTGAATGTACATTCTGTCTTCAACAATACTTATTATAGACAAATAGACAGGATAGCCATGGGTTCGCCTCTAGGCCCGATTTTAGCTGATCTCTTCCTAGCAAAGCTAGAAAATGGACCTCTCAATGAGCCTATTCAGAAACTTGATTTATATTGCCGCTACATTGACGACACTTTCATTATCGTAGATCAAAACACCAGTAAGGAGGAACTCCTAGAACAATTCAACAGTGTCCACCCAGCGATCACTTTCACTGGTGAAAGCGAGCATGATAAGAAGCTGAACTTCCTTGACGTCACACTAAGCAGACGAAGTGACGGCACACTAAGTAGAAGCGTGTATAGAAGAAACCCCTCTTCATGCCAATATATTCACTTCTGCAGTTTCATACCTATCCGTTACAAGAGAAGTTTGGTCAGATGTCTCATTAGCAGAGGAAAAAAGATCTGTACAGTAGATACTTTAAGTCAGGAGCTTGAATTTATCAACAACACACTGACCGAGATCGGCTACCCCAGTGTTTTCATTAAGAAGTACATGTATGACATAATGAAGAAGTCGGAGATTTCGACTGTTCGTAAGAAACCTTTATACATGAAAGTGCAATTCAACGGGGATGTGGCTAGTGACACTCTGAAATAACTAAAGTAATCACGAAGACATTCTACGCAGCCAATCTTGTGTTGAACTTCTCTTGTCGACCAGCGATGTCTACTCAAACGAAGGATAAGTTACCTGAGTTGGCCTCTTCTATGTGCATTTACAAATTCAGCTGCTCATGTAGAGATAGCTATATAGGGCGTACTACCAGGCAACTTAACCAACGAATGAGTGAACATCTACCAACTTGGTACTTAAAGGGCCAGATAAAATCTATTCGCAGTTCTATCTTGGCACATTTCATTGATAGCGGTCATGCTGTAGATAAATCGAAATCATTTCGAGTTATCTGTCGTATACCTCTATCATTTCTCAACGGAGTTCATTCTGGCCTCCTACATATAGCTGAAGCCATTGGAATTCGTACATATAACCCCAATTTATGTGTACAGAAGAAATACGTAACCCGCTATCCCTTCCGTGGCCAGTTATAACTTAACTAACGAATTTTTAAATTTTTTTTAATTATCATTATTTATTTTATTCTATTTTGCTATCATTAACCTTATTTTTACATCCATTATTTGTTTGTAATTTTCCGTCTCTTTGTATTCTTCACTATCCAATTATCTACACACTTCTTATTACGTAATGGTTTTAATGTCTTGTGATGACTATTTCAAGTCCATTTACCCACGTTTGACCCTCTATTTCCAACGTTTAACTATTGATAAGACTTTTGTTACTGTATTTTATTATTTTTGCTATTATCAGTTCACCTGTCTTCCTACTATAAACTTGTACTTTTACCGATTATGTGTAGAGACTTATTCCATTTCATTGTGATTATTGACTCATATTGCCTTGATTGGTTTAACATTTTCGTATAAATATTCATGTATATTAGAGTAAAGCCTGATGACGATCTAATTGAAAACAATTGTTCGCTTATATGTGTTGTTCTGATTTTCACAATGGGAATCTTTAATATTCTAAATAGAGAATTATTAGATATATTAAACATCAACAACGCTTATTTATTTAACTTACGTTTATTATCACTGAGTAGTTGAGAAAGTGTGTATTTGATTAGTGGCTTTCTGTCGAAGTAAATATAAGGGTTACATTGAAAGTAACGACCACTTCCTCACTGTTTAAAAATATACCTTAACGTTACATTACGGATCAATTGATAACATGGTTACATTAAATGTTTTAGTTTCCTTCTAAGTTCTCGAGATAAATTATGTTCCTAAGTTTCTAAAAGTGACAAGATCATTACTGGAACTTGATACAGTTACACTGATCACCAACTAGTAATCAATCAATTGTATCATTTGTATAATTTATAACTGAGTTATGTACAAATCATGATTTCTTATTCGTATTTTTTAGTAATCATTCGACTAATTTATGTGTTGTTTTATAGGCTTTGAGTCATAATAACGGAACTATTATAAGCAGAGATGGATGGTAGTTAGCAGTGCAATCCAAAACGTGCTTTTCATCGTATTTGGAATTCGTCAACTGGCTGAACTTGCACCTCAGAGTTCATATTCACTCAGAGACTTGGACCTTTACCATTCACTCCAAAAGCCATCGAGCTACCCACGGTACAGAGGTTTAAGTCCCTGAGTGAATGTCAACTCTGAGATGCATGCTCATCTAGCTAGGGAGTTTGAAATCGGACGAAATTCTCACCTTGGATTCTATTGTTTATAATATTTGTGACTTTATGGAAATTTCGAGGCAATCCGCACAGGAGAGACTGGTCAACTGCAGTTCTGAGCATCAACCGGAAGATTCAAAAAACCAATAAAAATGAACAATCATGAAAGGTGCAGAGCTAAGCAGTATTCCGTAAACTCCATAATCTTGTAGCTTTATTAAGTGAACAATACCAAGAAGCTGTACGCATATATTTAACCTCATAAGCTATTCACTCGTAATCTTAATTGTTTCTACATGAGGGTGTGTGGATGTCAGCTTATCACTTTCTCTGTTTTTTATCTGTATGTTTACATGAATTTCCCTTCATCTATCATCATTTACCTGAATTATTAAACATCTGAATCATATAGATTCTCCAAATACTTTCATATTCGGCTCTTTTATTATACGCATTGTTATTAATGGAATTCGTCGACGGAATATTAATAAAGTTTAGTGAGATCTATATCTCATTGACACTGAAATCGTTCGAATCATACTCATAATAAAAATCACAACAAAGCAGATATTTTGTTTAGAATAAATACTCACCTGTAGAAATATGTGTTGGTTTAATTGTTTCTAATGCAGCTTCAGCTTCCATTAAAGCTGGTTTAGCTGCTTCCAATTTCATTTCAGCGGATGCTTTATCTACACTAATTCCATCAACAAGTACTTGTGCTTTATCTTTTACTATTTGTACTTGAGTTTTAACTTTTTGTGCTGCTGTCGCTTGAACAGTTACTTGTGTTAGAACTTCTTCTGATTTTTTATTAGCAATAGCAAGTTCTTTTTCTTTTTCAACTAATTCTTTACTTAATTCATTTACTGATTCAGTTGCTTCAACTAATTTTTTTAAACCAGTATTCATACGTTCAGCTAATTGACCAATTTCATTATGTTTCATTTTATATATTTCCATGTAACCATTAATAAATGATAGATATGATTTGGGTGTAACATGAGTTTGACGACGAAAACGTTGAAAATAATCAGTACATGATTCAGCTACCAAATCCTATTATTATGGTCATTATTATTATTCACATTGCGGATTTTAGTTTTTTTTATAAAAGGGATGTAAAAAACAAAATTCATAATTTTAATATCAGAAGGGGTTTTGTGGATATTATAGTAATTTTCAGTAGTTGAGATCATGATTCAATTGAAGCTAGATCACCATGGAAAACCTGGAAGAACTGGACGACCGTTTCGTCCTATTGTGGGACTCCTCAGCAGTGCGCATCCACGATCATGCCTCGCGAGCGCTAAACCACTAGACCGGCATTCAAGTGTGTTGATTTCTAACTTCAACCAATCCACGAAGTTGCTCCACAGTACACCATTGTCTTCAGTGAGTTTATGTCTCACAACAGACCAGGTTGAACTGCACTGGTCACTGCTTCTCACTAGAACTCCGGGATATATCTATTGAAGCCAGTCACTAGTTGTCATATGTTGATTAATATCAGAACGGGTTGGCTAAAACGTCAGATTTTACAACTTAAGATAAGTATTTCTGTTTCTCTCAGTTTTAGATTCGTAATTGATACCAGTCGATAAACGACAACTGGAAAATAATTATTTTCATTGATGAGAAAGAGTGCAAAGATTAACTAAATTTTTTATGATATCCTGTTCAGTAGACGAAGTGATGGTTCGTCAAACAGAAGAATGTATAGGAATAGCTTCTTCGCATATCGGTAAACATACTTATCCATAGTTTTACACCCATTTGCTATGAAATAAAATTGGTCGAATCTCATATATACAGAACAAAAAATAGTCTACTCGAAGAATACTATGAAGAGATGGAGTTTATTGATAACAGACTGATCGAAATAAGCCGTCTGAGAAGTACTTTTAATGAAATGTATGTATCCAAGGAAGAATAACTTGGAAATATGGACCACGCATAAGAGACCTCCAATCATAAAACTAAAATTTAACGGGGTTGTTCCCAGTGATGATAGATCAGCGAAGACAGTTAATTGGGACATTTTACGTAGCTGATTCTAAACTGGCATTTTCTATTGGACTATTAATGTTTGCTCAAATAAAAAATAGGTTACCAGAGTTCATCTCTTCGATGAGTAACTACAAATTCAGTTGTTCCTGTGGAGAGAGATATATTGGACACACTACCGGATAACTTAACCAACGAAGAAGTGGACCTTCCCCGGTTTGATTTAGAAAAACCCAAACATAGCGATACGCAGCTCTATCCTGGCAGACCTGGCTGACAATGGTCATGTGGTAAATAAAATAAAATCATTTTGACTGAATCATTGTATACCTTCGTCGTTTCCCAATGCGTTTAGATCCCGTCTTCTTCATAAAGTAGAAGCTAAAAGGATCTGAACCCATAATCCTAGTTTATGTGTTCAGAAGAACTTCGTAACGCCCCAGTCACTTCCTTCGCCAGCTATGAATTATTAAATGATGTTTCTAATTTTTTATATGCCGTATATGATGCCGTTTTATATCTTTCTCCGTTTATGTTCTTCACTATCTGATTTTTCCCGGATTCAGATTTGTGGATGTGCACTGTTAAGGAGTGCTATACTGGGCCTAGGACGAGACATTTGTTTACTACTTTCTGGTTCTTAGTGCTGATCTAGCTAGGATCAGTTCGTGATTTAAACTATGAAAATTCTACTAGTACAATAAATCCCCCTATATAATTTCATCACGTAGTCTTAATAATTTGTTTGTGATTGTTATTTTAAAGTCTGTTTATCCAAGTTTGACCTGTTTGTGTTGTTGAAGAGAACCTTAGTTAGTTAAATATTCTTATCGTTACATGTACCACTGTCTTCTTCGTAGCGAATCATACTACCACAATATTAAATTCAATGAAGAACTAAGAAAGTTACCACATATTCAATGTCATCCGTTCATGTGCCTAATGGAAAACTATGTATTCCTGTCTATATTGACACTATAATTTTTGTTCGATTAGCTACAACAGTAATATGGTGAGTATTGTCTATTACGCGACAAAAGAAGCCCGAAAATAACTAAGCAGCATTTTCAGAAATAAGCTAATATTTTAATCATTAAATATAATGACATTTCATAGTATGTTGATAAGATCTAAAGACTTGTCCGATTGTTTTCGAAAATTAATTCGAAAATATATTTATGTACGATTCCAAAACCCATAAGATTTTATGATATTTTAATTAAAACAAGGTATCTGGAATTAACCTATTATTCTCTTTAAAGGGGAGTAGGTTTAGACGGATAGGTTCCTGTGAGTTAGCCAGCTTGCAAATCAATATTTTATTTTTTTAACAAGAAGGAAAGATTAAGTGTTACATGTAAGAGATGCCACTAAACGTTTTACAAATAGCATGCATTTTTAGTAGACCTATGATATTAAACTGGCTTCATTTAGTAGAAATTTTTAAATTCCGTTATGTATTTTTAATGACGTGAAAATAGTGTGCTCGACTTTTGATCACAAAAAACCGAACTCACTTGAAACACACCCATTGTCTGTACTACAGCTTTTTTCACATTGGGTGTACAGACTATGTCAAAAGTAGATAAGAAATGATTCGATACAGCAATTAACGCGTCTTTAGGCCATCTTTGAAACCAATCCATTGTGCAACCGGAAATAAGACCAGGGAACTTCAAACTTCTATTACGAAACTTTTGTCCAACCGGTGAAAAGCATAATACAACATGTAGATTTTGTGTTATCCTACTTGAATAATATTCAGCTAATGTTTCATTAGTAATAGGTCGACGTGGAAATTCACGTTTCATAGGACCAACTAGTTCTTGTAGAATTTCATCCATTTCATCCCGAGCAAATAAGTTGGCGATTTCACCAGAACTAAGCATATTATTTAAATATTCCAAGAATGACTCATCTTTGATTTCATTATCAGTAAATAAGAACGTTATCCCTTGACCTTGGTGGCCGGCTGTCCGATAAAGATATTTCAAATCCTCAATAAGATTAGAGACATTATATGATCTGCAAAACAATAAGGAAAACTGTAATGTAAAAAAGGTTAGGTCACAAATGCAAGTAACTGGATATATTTCACTGAATCTTAGAATTAGATTTTTTCGAAGATTTATGGTACCTATAGATTACCTTGGAATTTATATCAGTAAGCTCAGTTATAAATGCTTCATGCTAAATAACAATTACTGAAGCATTCAACTCAACAGATCAATTCACAAAAACTATTGGTTTTTCCTGACTTTGGGTACCTTGTAATTACCTCATGAAGTACTTTTGTCCATCAAATAGGAGTGGTTTGCATAAAAACTTGAGAAATGGCTACTGAAAACGTGTGGAAAAGCCCATAAGAGTAAAATACCTGAAAATTGAAACAAAAAATTGGCATCCACTGTACTATATAATCCTCAAAAAGCTATCACAATAAATCTCTGGCTTGTTGATGGTGATAAAGCTTTTGTAGAACTAGAAACGTAGTTACTAGAACCAGTCAAAAAAACAAATTATTATAGTGTTTCTAATATGAAAAAGTTTAAAATAAAAATTTATCTATTGAACCTACTAAAAATGTATTTGTTGAATATGTCCTACTCACCCAGTTAGTTATGCTTATTACGAGTAAATAATATCATTTCAAAGGTTATTAACTATTTTGTTATTTTGATTGTCCACTTTTACTTAATATTAATCCCATTTATCATTACGGTCTTGGTATATCTTACGATCAGTTGCTCTAATTCTTTACAAATGATTTAGATTGTAACAATTTATCGTTTCAGTTCTATTGACTACTGATTCATGTTAACTTTATCAGTTCTTACTGATTCTCCTAAGGTATCTTAAACTCTTGTGCTACCTTCGATGAATTTGGTAACAAGAGGAGCCATTAAAATTCATCATTTAACAACTGTCTCTGAAAAAAGTTGAATTTTATAGTGATCATGTGATTCTCTTTTACTTTGATGGAATAACGTATCAAGAACGCATCGTCAAGATGACTTAGATCTTTTGGTTTCAATGATAAAACGATAGGACAAAATACTCAAAGGTCAGATTAGTCATCTTCTGTACTTAATTTACAAATGTGTTAATTCAATTCTTTTCAGACTGATTAGGTTCACCAACAACATTTTGAAGATGAAAATTCAATTAGATCAATAAACAAGAGACGTCACTTTATTTCAATGGGGAGTTGTGAAGATTTTCCGGTAAAATTATACGATAATGACGACTTTGAGCGAGTTATTAGCTAATCAAGAAATAATAATTATTCATAAAATGATTAAAAACGAGAAGCGGTAAAACTTCTGTGGAATAATAGTTTACGTTTAAATAATTAATCCTTGTATTTTAAATTATTTATTGTTGTAGAAGAAAAAGTTACGTTTCCGCATGTGAAATTCAGTTAGTGTTGCGAATTAAGGTTATGATTATACCGTTTTCATCATCAAGTGACATCAGCTATCATACAATCAGGCTTTGCCATCTTGTTGGCAAACTTGAAAACGTTGAAGATAAGATTTAGAGCTAATAATTAGATTAGGAGAATATTGTCTAACTACACAAACGCTCTTGACTATAGGTTGAATTACATCAAATATTCTAACATACAATATATGTAAATAGCAGACATTTCTTGTAATTTAGCTTAAGCACCATGCCATATCCACTATATGGTCGCACAGTAGATATTTCTATTAATTTCAAGAATTTCACTAATCAAGTATATCTTGCGACTACTGAGTTTCTAATAACATTCCAGCTATGTTTAACTGTGCTTTCAATTTCGTGCTAAAAACTATGAGGCTCTACCTTGATTTTGATTGGCGCACTCGAGGCCACCAACATAATATAATTTTATCGGTTGTCCATTTCAAATTTAATTTGTATTACGCACTAACTACAGCTGACCTTTAGTATCTCAATATAGAGGTTAAAATAAATTATAGAATGTAAACCATAATATTCTGACTAAATAATATTGTAACTCAGAGTAATCGTACCCGACTGGAAGTTGTTGGATCTAGTTACTGTGAGCGTCATGAGTGTGAACTAGTGATGAACCTCAAAAGTAGACAACAGTTATCACTAATTGAGCAGATGATATCAGTTCGTGTTCGAAAATGAAAAAAAGACACTTCTATCAATAGTCGACTTCAAATTCAACTGTTTTTGTGAGAATAATGAGTTCTAAAGTTAGCTGATATCACTTGATATCAAGAAAACAATAAGTGAAAAATATCTAATTTAATAAATTACTGATTATTTATTTCTTACCGGCTTAATGTTATCTGAAAAGTTTTATAACCTGCTATAAATGAAGCTAAGCGTGTAAGCGATTGTTTGCCTGAACCACCAACCCCAACCAACAATGCATGACCTTTAGGTGTTCTGATTACACGTGAAATTTTTACAAGATGTATCATAGCATCCTTGAAAAATACCAAATCTAATTTACTGCCACGTATTGCTTCATTGTACATTTGCATCAACATTTGTAAACGATTACTCAATTGTTCTAAACTTATGATTGGTTCGTATATTTTCGGTGCTTCAAAATCTGCATCATCTGTCTCTTCACCAGTTGCTTCTGCAGCATCCCTTAAGAAATCAACAAAGTAAGGATCTGTCCAGTCAGTTTGATTTGCTAAAGCGCCACATTCTTCAATTCCTGTGAAGAGAATATTATGCAAATTGAATAAACTGAATTATTCTGAACAACAATGATTCATTTTTTAAAGAAACGAAAATTTACGTTGAAATCAAGTATATAACTATCGTATCATTTTTCTGTTATTACTCCATCTTCAGTTACATGAAACTGGAGCACTAAGAAAAAATAATCTTGTGTTTCGTTCTAGTTCAAGTGCATCTTGATAGTTTAATCCAACTTATTTACACCTGTTACTCTTTGAGGAGGAGTCATGTGATTGATTGTTTTCAAGTTCATGAGTGTCAAACCCTAAGGAGTCACAAACCACGGTAAAACAGTTGTTGAGAGATCATTGATCATACTTTCCTCAATGAACGATATTAAGTTTTTTAAAAGGGCGTGCATTCTCTGATCGTTAATATTTAGGAGTGAAATTGACCAGTCTCCACTAAAGCTATTTATGACAACAATGCGAGAATACAATCGTTTATAAGTAACCTCTTACCATTTGAAAATCTTAGTGACCATTTAAACTCGGTAGTTTAGTGAATAATATTTTGGCATTTGAAGTGATAGGTAAGCACTTTAACAGTAGAATTATGGTAAATCCGGCCAATTAGTCTCAAATAAGATGTTTATAGGTTAGTCCATTAGGGTATTGATAAAAAAATGATTTAAATTAAAATGACTGCCGGTTAGATTACCTTATAAACTAATATCACTTTAATAAACATTTAAAATAAGGGGTTATTGAGAAATATCTTATTAAGACAGTCTTTATGAACTAGTAGTCAAGAGTTAATATATATTAGGGTGAAAATTTGTTCGAAAGAAGTGCTTCCATATATTATATAAATAACCAAGTATAATCTAAATTTGGCTTACCGACTTGTTTCAATGTTTTGTCAAACCATTCACGATCACTATGTTCAGTGAAACGATCAGCAGTGACTCGAGTGCATTCATGCTGCCATAAAGCTAATAAAATAGATGGATTAGTGATAACATCTGACGTTGTGCGTAACATTCCTTGCCATATACGACTAACATCACGTAAATTAAATACATAGTGAAATTTAGCTGGAGTTGGTAACATTTTCGCTTTAACACGTTGCCAAAGTTTTCTAGTCGCTGGAACTAAACATTGAACTGTTTTAATCACATCTGATGAAAAACCTCGTTCACTACAAAAATGCCCTAATCCTAATGAACCAAAAACTTTATCCATTGAAGCATTACTAGGCAGAGTACAATTGAATATATTGAATTGACGTTTAAGTCTTTGAGGTATATCATTACGACCTCCACCAGGATGAATCATAGCAGCAACAAACTATTTTTTTACAAAAACAAAAACAAACACAACAATTAATGCACTTTTTTAAACGTAAAATTGAATAAATTGATTCCAAAAATAAAAACACGTTGCTCATACTACCATATATGAGACCACTTAAAGAATTGTGAATAATAAATGACCCTGACAGACATTAATTATTTTGATCTGACTAATATTTGTACGATTTGCATATGAAAGTGATACTCATGGTTTTTGAAGATGCGGAGCTGTGAAACTCAAACTTGTTGAGACCTATAGCTTTATAGGTTTGAGATAAGTTAAAGCTTCAATAAATATATCAAAGTGGTTAGACGATACTACCGATGGCTTAAAATACACTGTGAAATTAGATCCACAGCCGATAGGAATACTTTTAAGATTATCTCAGTTTCGTTAGTTTATAGGTAGATTAAGATGAGCATTGGATAAATTTTTGTATTCAACATAATTATTCACTCTACAAAAAATATACTCATATTTACATTACTGGGATAGGACATCAGTTTCTGAACAGAATATTTCATTTGATTAGAAGAATATGTTAAATAGTTAACTTTTAAAACAAGTACTTATTTCTCTTAGATCACTATTGTGTTGTCGAATTGTCTTAAATAGTGTAAAAGTGATTACATCATTGTTTCATTTACATACGTTTACAATTCATATCTTAAAGAAACGTTCTAAATTTGGATAAATCAAATTGATCAGAGTATCACTGGGTACAGCGGAATTACACTTCGTTTCCTCTATGCATTTCGAA